AAAGGAAACCTCTCCTAAATACTCAACCCAAAGTTAAGCTCCATCTGATGATTTGTTAGCATCAATTGTATCTACTTTGCATTTATTTCCTTGTATACACAGAATCATAAATTATAGCTGAAGGACACTGGAGATCAGCTATTCCAATCCTCTCATTTTGCAGATGAAGACTTTGGGACCAAAATAAATGAAGTGATTTATCAAAGGTTCCATGAGCAGTAAGAGACAGATGGAGGAATCTAATCCAAGTTCCTTGACACCTTGGTCATAAGGTGTACTCTTTCCATTGTACCACAACATAATGCATCTTCCTAATAGAAAGCAAGTTCTCTGAGGTAAGAATTGTGTTTTTCTTTCTTACCACTAGTGTCTAGTACAATGCTTTGCAGAGAAGTACATGGACAGGACCAATGACTTCATTGGTATTGGGAACTCCAAGGGGAGAAAATTCTCTCTACCAATACAAGTCAACATCTTCCTATGCAACAGAGTCTTAGAGAGTTTCCTAGACCCCAGGAGTTAAGTTTCTTGCTCACAGTCATACAACCAATATGAGTCAGAGGCAGGAGTTCTTGGCTTTGAGGACAGCTATGTATTTAATAGATGACACACTCTATATGCTTTGCACATGGTAGGCATTTAATAAATGTTTGTTGAAAGCAGGAAGGAAATAAGCATTTATTAAGTGCCTACTATGTGCCAGACACTTTATAAGTGTTAACTCATTTGATCTTCACAACAACCCTGGTGGTAGGTGCTATTATTACCCCCATTTTACAGTTGAGGTAACTGAGGTAGATAGAGATTAAATGACTTACCAAGGTCTTTGTTTCTATCCATTGATTCAAAAATTGCTTATTGAGATGTTACATACCTGCTTTTGTAATATTTTGGTTATTAAAAAGGAAAGAATTGAATTCTCTTCCACAATCTATGCAATGGGACTTTTCAAGTGATTTGAGGGTGGCAAACTATGTAATTAGTCTTGTGTCACATACTTGGTTGAACTGGCTAACCCATAGTCAGAGCATCTGGATTCTGTTCTTTCACATTATGAATAAATGGCACATTCACAATTTTTGGACCAACTTCTCCGAAGACATTTCGGCTCATGAGATGAAACACAGAACCTACCTTCACTCCAACATTTAATTCAGTAAACTTTTGTTAAGGACTTACTATGTGCAAATCACTGTGCTTGATACTAGGGAAACAAAAGTAAAAGTAAATGCCAGACCCAAGAGTTTGTAGTTAATCCTACAGACAATAGGGAGATATCGACAATTTTAGAGGGGTAGGGGAAACCAGAGGAACGGTAACATGGTTAGCTCTGTGTTTTAGGAATACCAAGTGGTGACTACATGGACAATAGATTGGAGAACAGAGAGACTGGAAGCAGGGAGACCAATGAGGAATCTGTTGGAAGAATGGCCCAATGGAAAAAGCACTGGCTGTGGGATTTCACGTGCAGATGCTGCTTACTATGCCAATGTGACTTGGGACAACTTACTCAACCCCACCTTTCCACTTCTGTTTTCTCATCTGGAAAATGAGAGGGTTGGAATACGAGACCTTTGAGGTCTGTTCCATGTCTAAATCTGTTATCTTATTCCACATGTGAAGCCTTCACTTGACTAACACTAGCAAAGCAAGCCAACAGCATTCATTAAGCACCCACTATAAGGAAGCACTGTAGATGCAAAGAGAGGGTGGGGGACAATCTGTACCCTCCAGAACCTCACAGTCTAATGGTATAACAGGGAAAGCACTAAATTTAGGGCATAAGACTAAGATGTAAATCTCAGTTCCACTATTTACTGGCTGGGTGACTTTGGGAAAGTCCCTTCACTTCTAGCATTTATATGTAGCTTAAGGTTTGCAAAGCACTTGACATTTGTTACCTCATCACATCCTCATAATGACCCTGAGAAGTAGGTGTTATTCCCATCCTCAAGGTTATATTCATTGTAAGTGTCTGAGGAAATATTTGAACTCAGATCATCCTGACTCCATAGAGTACAGCAGTACTCTGCTTTTCATACCACTTTTCAAAACGATAATATATGTATGTGAATCATTAAATGCCTGTGGTGATCATCCTATTCCCCTATGTCTCTTTTAAATTCAGGTGTGAAAGAAATTCAAGCAGATTTTACAGATAAAGTTCACAATCTGTCCCCATGAGGCTTCTAGAAACATTTTATGTATAAAGTTTCAGAACAAAATGAAAATAAGTATTTTTCTTTTCTGTACTGCATAGATATGTGCCACGTGTTTGCTTCTGCCCCAAAGCCTTATAAATGCACAAGATGGTTATTTAAGCATCCAAGGTAAATGAATTTCTCTCTACGTTCCTTTCCTCTTCATCATCCAAGTCAGCTAAGAGCATTGAAATTTTAGCAGTCATCAGTAACACCAATGGCTGGACCAAAAGAACATAACATTTGAAATTTTTTCATGGGTTTAAAGAATGAGAAGGGGAAAGGATCTAAGACGTCCTTTAGAACCACTTGATTTTACACTGAGCAGATGTCTAGAAAGGCCATAACCATTGCTGAAAAGTATGGAATGTTATTAGGCTGGGGATTGGGTTTGCTGAGGACCCTAATAAATAGTCTCTGAGGGTGGCCCAAGGCTAACTAGTTATAAGTAATTCTTTTCTAGGCTCTATGAGTGGCACTTACTGAATCAGAACCTCCAGATCTTTTAAGTTGGAAGGGACTGTCTCAAAACTCAAACAAGTTTCCCATACAGTAGTCGTTCAACCTTTGCTTGGAAACTTCCAGTGATGAGGAGCTCACTACCTCCAAAAGCAATAGATACTATTTTTTTATGACAGTTCTAGTAGTATGGAAGTTTTCCCCTTATATTAAGGCTAAATTTGCCTCTCTGAAACATTTGCCCATTTACTCCTACCCTGTAGGTCCAAGAAAGTCAAATCTAAGCCCTTTTCCATGTGATACCCTTTCAAATATGTGAAGACAGCTATCCTGTCTCCCCCCAGTTCCTTTAACCTAATTCTCATATTGCAGTATCTTAAGGCTCTTCACAATCCTCATCACATTCCTCTAGATCAGGGGTTCTTACTTAACCTGGGGTCCATGAACTTGTTTTTGAATTTTTTCAATAATTATTTCTATATAATTGGATTCCTTTGTAATCATATGTATTTTATTTTATGCATTTAAACATTCCATTCTGAGGGATCCCTAGGCATCACCACATTGACAAAGATGTCCATTACACACACAAAAAAGGTTAAGAATCCTTGCCATGACTTCATATATATACTGGGTATTGCATTTCTTGCCTTCTCATTGGATTGGGAAAGGGATTGAGGAAGGGAGAGAGTTTGGAATAGAAAATAAAATATTAAAAAATACCTTGCCTTAGATAATTTCCAGATTATCAATGTCCCTCCCAAAACTTGACTGATGCAAAACATTTTAGACTGGACCTGTCATTTTATTGATGTAGGGAGATCCCAGTCAGGCATTCCTTCGCTAATGCAGACCTAAACCTGTTCTGCAAGTTACAGTATAAGGAGGTTACCTGAGGCCTCCAAGAGGTTAAGTCGCCCAAGGTCACATAACCAGTATATATTAGAGGCAGGCTTAACTTCTTGACTGTGAGGCCACGTCTCCATCTACTAAGCCAGCTGCCTCTCCCACTAACATTTCTAAGGTGTCACTATACTAATGCCAGGGATATGAGCCTTGCAGTTCTATACTGTATTAAACAGCTTCCCCTTCAGAGGAATAAAGGAAAAATGCAGTTGAGAAAATGTCTCTAGATATAGAAAAGGGTAGTGAGAATCTGCCATGACCTGCAGCCCAATGCTCTGCCAGAACAGAAGAAGAATTTCCCAGTTTTCTGAAGGGAGAATTAGAAACAGCAGGCAGTTTGGTAGTGAGGGACATTTGTTAGGGTGGAATTTCACCCTTTTGTCTCAGCTCTTTGACTTTTGCAGACAGGAGTTAACCACGAAACAGCAGTCGTTCTCAGAAACTCAGGGTCAGCCAGAGAACTCTGTTGCTTCAATAAACAAGCCAGGCTACGAGTCAGGCAGCAGGTGGATAGAGAGGGCTGTAAGGTTGAAATGGAAGGATATTGGTGAGCTCTGCCTTGGGCTTAGTCCCATGTCACCTGCCCCTATTTCAAGCTACCATCCCCTGACTCTACCCACTGTTGACTCTTCTGCCATATTATTCTCTGAGTGTTCTGTTACCATATGGAATATGCCTCAATGCACTCCTTCCCCCAAACAGAGTGGGATCTCATTGAGGGTAGGACAAAGGTTTGGTTTTGCTGCCCCCTGTATTAGACACAATACGGTAAACCATATTTAGTCAATGCCAGTTAATCTTTTAATTTGATTCACTCTGGTCCTGTCCTGGCCCACATTCACTAGCTACAACTTGAATTCAGAATAATAACAAGTTTAGAGTCTAGTATCTTTGGGTTGCCTTGTCACTAGAGGTGTCAGTAGAAGGAATCTCAAAAGTCATCCAGATCAAAACCATGATTTTATACAAGAGAAAATGGAAAAGGCAGTGATTTGCCAAAGTTCACACAGGTAGAAAGCATTACGGTTGGGATTTGAACCCAGGTCCTATGACTACAAAGTCAATGCTCTTTCCCCTGTGTCGTTCCCCTGTTCAGTTGTGTCCAACTCTTCATGATCCCATTTTGGGGATTCCTTGGTATTGCTTTCTCTAGCTTACTTTACAGATGAGGAATTGAGGCAAACAAGGTTACACCAGCTAGTCACACAGCTAGTAAGTATCTAAGACCAGATTTGAACTCATGAAGATGAGTCTTCCTGACTCCAAGCCCAGTGCTCTAACCACTGCACCATCTAGTTTTCCCCTCTACTATAATCTGTCCTTGAGACCAGGATCTGGGAATACCCAGTGCCCTTTTGTCACTCTTCGCCACCCACGTGACACCCGTGCTCAAAGGAGGGGTATTAGGCAATCTGATTCTGGAGCCATACTCACGACTTTCACAGTGCTTCCCAGTGTAACCTGCCAGGCAAGCACACTGATAGGATCCAGTTTTGTCAAGGAGGCATGTGCCATCATGGAAACACGGAGATGGAGAGCAGGCTGGAAGACAAAAATAGGGTGAGCCAGTGCTTATACCCGGGCAAGGTACTTATGTGTTGAGTCTGGGTTCAAGTTTTATATCTAGTACAGTCTTGAAAAATGTCTTAGAAGCACAGGATATGAGAGAAATGATTATTTCTCTCTTGTAATAATAACTAATTATTTTATTAAGATCAAGGTTTTTCCCATTTTCTACTTCCTCATCCAGAAACAAACCAATGTGGAAAATCTTAGGCAAAGACTAACCCAGGCCAAGATCTAATCAGACAGTAAAAGAAATTCTAATTTGGGGCTTATAGTTGCATTCCTGCTAGTTGTATTTGCTCAGACAGGTCTGAGAAAATGTGAGTTCTTCCTTTTGTTGGACAGGTGATATGGAAATTGATGAGTCTCTTTGACCAACATTTGAGTGACCCAAGTCACATACCCCAAGACCCTCATTGGAATATAGCCCAGCCCCCTCATTATAATACTCATTCTCTCATTAACTGTTAACCAATCAGAGCTGATCGCCACCCTTAGGAACACCTACTCTTCCAAGAGTATATAGTCTGTGAGCCCACCACCACGAAGGATCTTGGGTCTAAGAGAAAGATGGCCAAATGACCATCCTTTTAATAAAAACATGCTGGCATTATTAACAAAATGATTGAATTACTCAGAAATTATGTCTCTCAAACTATTTAAAAATCATAGCTGGGAGGGACTATATTAAGTCCTTCAGTCAATACACATATATTGTAACACTTACTATGTGTCAGGTATTCTGTAAAGTGCTGAGATTACAAAAAAAGGGAAAAGATTGTTCCTGCTCTCAAGGAGCTCACAGTCTAATGGGAGAGACAGGTAAGCAGCTATGTAGATAGATAGATAGATAGATAGATAGATAGATAGATAGATAGATAG